CGAGCATGTTTGGTGTGACGGGGTTTCGAACCCTCGACCCTCAGATTGCGAGTCGAGCACCTTAACCACCTGGCCATGTCGGGCCCTTTTTCAAGTAAACTGAAGGATCGGAAAGTTAATTATATATATATAAATAATTATATAATATGTAAGTAATTCAGCAAGTCGATAAATGACAGGTGATAAAAAATTATAACCAAATACAATATTTTCACTTGTCGCAGTACCAGAAGTAGAATAGTTCTGTAAGGTGGTGGGGTGGGGGCTTATTGTTTTACTGGTTTTACATTTGACAATTCAACTTAATTTTTAGTACTGCATTGTTAAGATACCCTAACTGACGCTACAGCTGCTACGTGGCGCTGCTAGTTTTATAATACTTGATGTACAATTAATTCGATGGAAGTACGAGCGAAAGATTACTGTATGCGTTAAAAAACAAAACCAAAAAAAACAACAACCGCTATATATATTAAATACTCTTTAGTCAACAAAAACGAATTGGGTACAGGATTATAAATTGATTCATTCCTACAGTTTAGCTCTGTCAGAGTCAAGAAGACTGGTTTTGAGGAACGTTATTTGTAATTTATGGATGAGACGAATATCAAAATTAAACCTCCGTCTTTCATGTGATTTAAATGTCAACATCTTTTTTCATTTTTTTTGAGTCTCTGGTGGGCTAGTCAGAACGAAAACAAAGTTATGATATACCTTAAAGATGTAGATGTATTCACTATATAAAGTATTTTTTTTTTCTTTTCGAAATATTATTCCGAAATAAAATCCTTTTAGCCATTTGTCAGCCATTGAAACTGATTTTGACATGCTGGATATGAAGTGAAAGGTGTTTTTGACATGGTGACAGGTGTTACAGTCATTTTATATTTAACACTTTTTCTTATAATTGATTTTTGTGGAAGAAACTTAACATTGCCTATCTCTAAGCAGAATAAAGATATTACAAAACGATCCACGAAATACTATTATCCTTATTGAATAAGATTAACAATTTTTAGAGCTGAATTAAAGTCATCGTGAAGTTACAAAATAAATATTTTTTTTTTACCCCCAAGGCAAGCATCTTTCTATAAAATAAAATCCAACAATCCGAAAAAAAAGTTGAAAATTACTTAGTTTATAAGTTAAAAGTAAATTTATTATTAAGAATTAATCGTTGAAAAAAATAAAACGTGTTTTATGTTGTTTCTTAAAGAACTTTGAAAGACCAATTCACTAGCGAAAACTGTTTAAAACATCTTATAAGTGTTAAGTTTTTGTGCAACTGAATGAGGGAATTCTGTGCTTAATGACATCCATGAAACAAGACTATCAATTATAGAACTAGAAAATAACCACACACACAAAAAACACGCCATCTTAAATTTAGGGTTATTGCATGGTTCTAATGCAGTGTGAACTAATGTTCCAGGTGGGATTACACGCCTAAACTTAAATTGTTCATAGGGGGAATTACATGCGTAAACTTAAATTGTTCATAGGGGGGAATTACACGCCTAAGCTTAATTTGTTCAATGTGTAATTCTAATGTAGAATGAGAGGATTTTTTTTTTTCATTCTATAAGACCCATTTATCATGGATTCTTCGAGAAAAGCGATAATTTTGATATGTTATTTTATGCTCATGGAAAAGCTTCATAGGAGTCAAAGTACTTGAAGAAAGTTTTTTTTTTCATTTTTAAATTAGTGTATGTATGGTCGTT